CATTTTATTCAAATTGTTTTCTACACGTAGCATTTAGAGTAATTTTCGAAGCATTCTCATACGTTGTCTTGTAAACGGCTAAAATTGTAACGCAATCGCCAACAGAATAATGTCACGTATTAATCGTATTCAACGTCTGGGCTGCCTGTGATCTGATGTAGGGGTTTAGGTATCTACAGCTTGAACTGCACGCGCTACATCGCTTGCACGCGAGACACCCCTGAAGGTATACTGTAACCTTAAGGAGTTGGTTAAGTACTTGAACATTCTCCATCGACTTCGTCTGACTCTCTTTAGGTAGGATCTCATCCCATGAATATCCTGCCCTCCATAGTTCTTGTAAATCGATCGTAAATTCAGTGGTTGCTGGGTTTACAAGACCTATAGGGTCCCACAACTGAGTGAGGTGGGCCAGACAATTTCTCCTCGTCAGGAGGCTTCCATCTGAGACGATTGAGTTTTTCTTGACGGTAAACGTGTCGTGAACTTTGTTCCACTTATGTCCAAGGAAATCCGTGAATTCTTCATCTGTCTAGTCAACGTTCTTATTGTTTGAATGCCACGCCTTGATTTGGAAACAGCGGAAACCACGCAGACCTATGACCTCTAACGGCTCTACTCTGGTGAAATGTCCTCCTAAAAACAGGATTATTGCTTAGCGAAATATTCAAAGATCCCCCTGTCGTACCATACAAAAGGGGCAGATCCTCAAAGATATACTAGTTCGAGCAAAACTCTCAAAGCGGCTATTACACGTGGATGGGAGTTGTGTAGGCCTGTCACCCCATTGTTATCACTGTTGAGTTTTACCAGGCAGGCTCCTTCCTATCACGTGCGAGTATAAACGTAATCCAAATTACAGCATATGAGTCCAAGGTGTACATTAGCTACACTAAAAACAAAGGATAAACATACGAAATGCGTGCGAAATACTTTACACAACCCTCCAAAACTTGGAGATATGCCGTATAATTACAACGCATAAGTATCTTACGCTTTATCCTTAAATTCAAATCACACATGCTGGAGAAAATAAGCATTATAGCCATCATAGAAAACACAGTGTCAAGCTGTGTACAATAGGATCGAAGACTTTATGCTCACCATTCGCTGGTGGCAAAACTATCAATCACAATCAAAAATTCTCGATCCGCCGAACGAGTATATAATACCAAAAAAATATGCCAGGTGCGGAATGTTACCGAGCATTGGTCTCTACCACTCCCTGTTATCGGATGAGATCCAGAAGGATCGAAACCGCGGTATTGCCTGATCGACAAGGCTACGAGCCTCCTAACAAAACAGGGACTATTAACAGTCTCAAGAAAACCTGACAACATCGCAAATAAAAGCAATGGCGACCACAACGTGGAGCTGGTTGAACAATCATATGAAGAACTCCTAAATTCAGAGCTTTTTGCCTGAACAAAACCACACAATATCATAAACAACGCGCAAAACAGTCCACAGACTTGCGTGTGAACATCCACATTTGCAGTTCCAGAAGGTACAAACTGGAAGGCCAAAAAACTCGATGAAATTAATGCAAGAAACATAAGAACGTCTATCTAAGACAGAATTATAAAAAATGCAAGTAACCAACATGTTCACCAAATATTTCAAACTTTGTCCCTCCAAAGCTAATATTTAGAGAGCTTAAAACATATCTTGCAATACAAATGAGCCAAAAAAAACTGGCACGTGGCAAAAAACAGAGGTGTCAAACTCTACAAATTATAAGCGGATAGCAGCGGAATCCACGCAGACCTATGACCTCTAACGGCTCTACTCTGGTGAAATTTCCTCCTAAAAACAGGATTATTGCTTAGCGAAATATTCAAAGATCCCCCTGTCGTACCATACAAAAGATATACTAGTTCGAGCAAAACAATCAAAGCAGCTATTACGCGTGGATAGGAGTTGTGTAGGCCTGTCACCCAATTTTTATCACTGTCGAGTTCACTTGTGACTTGCTTGCATTTCGCCTCACTTTCCCTGGATCCCCCGATGTCGTGAACGTAAACGTGTGTACGGAGTTCTTTAGCTGCCTCCGGGTACTGAGCTTCTGAGGCTTTAGCCAGGGTATTAATTGCTGCTGCAGCTATATCTGGTGCTGGTTTGTCTCCGAAGTTTAACCTTAACCACTGATAGACTCTTGGTTGCTCGGTATCACTTGTTCTCCACAGAAAGCGGTGAAACACTCGGTCATCTGGATGAATCTTCACTTGGTTGAACAGTTTGCGTACGTCAACAGTATACCCTTCCTTGTCAAAGCGCCATGCAATGAACACGTTCGGCAAACTGTTGATATAGTTCGGACCTTGATGATCAAGATGATCATTTAATGACTTTCCGTCGCGTCCCTGTGCGGAGGCATCGAATACCAGCCGGACTTTGGTTGTTCTGTCAGGAGTGAAATCTGCTTGTAGGAGAAGGTACCACTCGGAAGTTTCATGGTTGATCTGTTCTGGAGGTACTTCTTTTACGAATCCTTTTTCAAGTAGCTTCTGAACTTGGTCTTGTATTACTTCAAGGCAATCTTCTCTCCTGAACGTTTTCTCGGAAGAGATCATTCGTTTGTAGGCGATATCGTAGTTACTCTCTTTTGGGGGACCCTCGTCTTTCCATGGCATGCGCACTTGGACCCGCCCATCTATGATTTGAGTTGCGATCAACAAGTCTACAGTTCCTCCTGATAAATATAGTTTATTTGAGATTGCCTTCAAGTGTGGGTAGCTATTTACAATCTTTCTAGAAACTGTTCTTGCTGGACTGCAAGGCTTATTTATCGCGTAAACTCGCATTGACTTCTGGATGTGTTCTTTAGCTGTTGACACAACACTTATGTTAATGAGCTCTGATTCTTCTGACTTCTTATTACTTCTTGCCAAGGTCATGGTCAAATGTGTTTTAGTACCGCTTAAACCGAGCTTCTTCTTTACATTCTTCGAAATGAAGAACTTGTGTTTGAGCCACGATCTAACATAGCGAGGACTTCGACAAAGTTTCCATCTTTCAGTGTCTTTTATCTTGACTTTCTGAACTGGACAAAGACCAGGGACGTTTCTCTCGCCCTGAACGTTGCGATTACTGGCCTCTTGACTCGCACCAGTAAAGGGTACAGCCTCGGGATCTAAACTGGAATTCACTGCAGGGGGTATACGTTCGTTGTGTAGAGAACGATGATGGCGTCGCGTGCACTTGTTGCAGGTGTTTCCGTCGGGCTTTGTGATGGTTTCGCAGGCACTTGCAACATCGATTATTCCGCTTTACTATTTCCCATCTCTGGCCTACTGTTGATTTTTGGAACACAGTCGGTGACTTGCCTTCTTTTGCGAACTCAAAACATCGGCCATTTTTGTTACTGCTGATGTCATTGCTTCAAGCGCGTCGCGTTTAAACGGCGGCTTTTCAGTCGCGAATGATTTCTGATAAATGGCGAATTCTGTACTGATTCGCTCCTATGGTTGAAGG